CAAGCTGTCATTTTCTTCTCCTCAAAAGCCACATCTTTGGAGACTTCCACGTGACCAGGACAGCAGGCAACGCTACTGTCTAGCATTCATACACGTGCCTATTGCTCAATGTTAGGAGCAATGTCCTCTACGTAAAGCATCCTTAGGGGTGCAACTTCATTGAAAAATGCAGGTACGGATGGAAGTAGCACAGAAGTGTTATTACTTGAAGAAAAGGGTGAACCAGAGCCCAAACTTAAAAACAATAAAGAAACCAGTTTGTGTAGAAAGGCTTTTTATTTTGAAAAATGTTTTTGCAAATTTTTGAAATACAGTGTAAAGTACAACATAGAATTATGTCTGCAAGTCAGCTTATGCATGTCATGCCAGTTATTTACATGTAGATATATACAGAGTGCAGATAATTATTGAAACCACACTACAAAATAAACAGAGAGTTCAATAAGATAATTTAGTAGGACTTTATTAAATATATATATAGTTATTGATTGTATATACTTTCGTATTAAAATACCATATAGTATCTAAAGTAACCCCTATAAACTCTAATACCTCCAAAATTGTCATAAATATGATTGCAAATTGAAACTATCCATGTGCCCTGTTCAGCTGCTTTGCCCTTTGCTGTAACAGAAACTCGTGTAGCGCTGAGATCATGGTGCTGTCTTTAGTGCCAGAACTTTAATGACAATTCCCAATAAAACACTTGCGAAAAGCTCAGATGCAGAATAGCTTTCAGCTGAGACATCCAAGGGTTGAAGCACCATTCCCTATACTTAAAATAATGAGGAAAATCCAATGGCTTATTAAATACTGCCACATACAGGACAAGAAAAACAATGCTATGATCTTCAGTGACTGAATTGCAACATTGAATTAGTAGCTGTTTGGATACCAAGCACCTTATTAAGACAAAACAAAGCAAACTCCCAAAGCCCATGCAAAATCTTACTCAAAAAAGAGACCTCCCAACTTGTACTGGAACAGCCTGCTCAACAGTCTGACTTTTGCATGAGCAGTAGCTGGAGGGGCCGCGGCAGCAGTGGCTGTCAGGACTGCGTGCCCACAAAGAACAAGACTGAACTTTGCCTACAGCTTGATCTCTGGTAACTGAATGATTCATACAGGGCACTCTGCTGGAAGAAAGGATAATGCCAAGCTGTATCATGTTACCCCATTAACAGAATATTCCATTTACTTTCTGGGGGCTTCTGGCCAGCAAACCCTCACTATAAATTGCCAAAGGTCTGTCTTTGACTTCACTAGAGCTTTGTGAGTTTCCACCAGTGGAGAAGATCCACCCCAGCCCGGAGGATGTGCTCCCCTGCTGGGATTTCTCTTCTTGCCATTCAATCCAAAATTGCACAAACTGCTGCCTTAGGAAAAGAAGTATAAAGAACAATATGCTTTTTAGTTTCATTATTTATTCTGATGCAACCTTATTAAGTAGAAAATAGACCAGTGGAGAAATGTAACAACAAAAAACCCCAATTACTGCCATACAATTTTTTTTTTTGTTGTTGTAATTATTGTTCTAAACTGCTGAATTTTGCAACTTTACCTCTCCTAACATGTCTTTCCTAAAGGCACATTACAATTCAATCCAATTACAGGCAAAGAAAAGAAATTAGCACCAGAAAATATATAAAAGGAAAATAAGTTACTATTACTATCATAGAATAGCGCTGGTCAGCAAATCTGTGCATCATCTTTTTCCAGAAATAATCAAACAATGAACTTTATAGATTAGTTAGGGACATAAGAGATAGCTATGGTTTAATTTAAGAGTTTTGTTACATAGAACTCTAAATGCCACAATACGGCAAGGACAGTTTAATACTGAACTCATAGGAATTACACCAAAAATATTTTTTCATCTTTAATAAAAAGTGTGAATATAAAATATTAATATACTTTACATATTTATCATACAATATATCAGTCCTTCAAACTATTAATTTGATTCATGTTGTGCTGCAACATGTATCAAAATGTTTAACAAAGAAAAAACATGGCTAATTACATAAGTTGTGGGTACAGACATTATTTCCACAACAAAAACAGCAATCACAACGTGTCATCTACCTTGAGTTCTACAGTGATATTTGGAAAAAAACCTGCTGCATCCTTTTAGGAAGGATAATAACAACTGTAATGCGCAACATTTTCTTGTAGAGTGAATCTGACTTTCATAAAAACCAGTAAATCAATACTATGAACTAATTTAGTTCAGCTTGCCTAATTTTCTGGTAAGGCACTATCAAGGTATTATATCTTCATTTAAATGTTATATGGATTTCCGATCGTTTGCAATTATCACAATGAATTTTTGGTCAGGCCTGAGAGTATCACCATTAGACAAGCTTTGGTGCCGCTCTCTCCCGCATTTCAGTCCTTGAACACCTAGTTACTTAACTTTCCAGTTCATTGTACAGCTTCTTGTAGAGATCAGCTCCCTCCTGGAAAGTAAGGGAAGAGCTGGGGCATCCACAACCCAGCAGTGAGATTATACAGAAAGTGCTTGTTACATACCACAGAACAGAGGAACAGAAAGAACATAAAATATTTCAAAAAAATGAAAAACCCTACTCACTCCACTGAGAGCGAGTGGTGAACTGTAATTAAGAACAGGCATAAACTTTTTCAGATGGAAATGCCATTTTAAATCTAAGCTACTTTAAAATTATTTATTTGATTGTCATGGCAGAAGAAGGGCCTGAAAAAGTGCAGAGTCCTACAGAGGAAAATACGGGTTTGTTTTGTGAGCAGCAGAATGAATGGGATCCAGTTGCTTATGAAGTTGCCTTCTGCAATTCAATTTTGTGTCTAATGTGAGATGAGTGCACGGGAATAGACAGAACACCCCTCCTCCACAGGGATTTCTCCAGGTCTTTCTATAACCTTTCCCTCAGCACGTAACAGACTCCACTTACTTAATCTCTAACTGAACTTTGCATTTTTACAAAGTTTTTAATGAACTTAGCATCTTTGAGTCCTCTAGCTTGCACTCAGATCAGCTGGTTTCAAAACATAATATTGGAGAATACCCAGACACGTACAAAGGCTGTGAGATTACCTAAAGTTAGCTTCCTCCCCCAGCCCCTTCTTTTTAAACCAGGGTAAAGCAAAGCAAGTATCAAGAATTTCACAACAATTAAATTCCTCCTATGAGGTATGTGAGGTCATCAAAGGATATTCAACAAAGGTCCGTTTGCCACTGACTCCAGTGCAACAGATAGAAGTGGTGGGTTTTTTTTTTTTTCCCAGAGCACTGCAGTTCTCTGCCTTCATGAGACGTGTGCTGGGCCTCCAGCCTCTGCTCAGAGCTCTGCCTCCCTTTCTGCTCTTTTTTGCCTGCAGCAGCACTCCTGGGAAGGTCACCAGAGATAAGCCTTTTGACATCCTGCAATTTTTGGATTGTGAAATACAGCAAAAACACAACCAAAACCATGTTGATCTTCTCAGGGCAATGGCAGTTTCAGGCACAGCTTACACTAAGAAATCTTGGCTTGCCTTAAAAATAAGAAATGCTCAATCTGATTAGAAAAGACCTTCACTTCCTTTCACATCTGCTCTGGGCAAATTAGATGAGCACACATGTGTCTGCCTTCAGTGTGTGTGACAAAGTCTGGAACAACGCTTCATCACAATGTGCTGACCGCAGTCTGGTCTAAAGGTGAAGTGAAACATGATTCAGGACTTAAGTGAAACTGCTTAGAGTGAAGAAAGAAGCCAGATCACTCAGTCATTAATTCAAGGGGTCTGTCCTCAACTGTCTGCAGTCAGTCTTACCCAGACTACCCTTCCAAAAAGCCAGACCGTTTCTGGGAGGATGCTCTCACAGACTCTCTCCTTCCCTGATCACCACTTGATACTTTAATTAGCAAGAAGAAGGATCCTGCAGGCTTTTGCCACCATCCTGAATTCCAACACAGAATTGCTCTGCAGAAATCCTGCACTACATACAAGTAAAGAAGGTTCTGATGTGCTTCTTTATGTTGGCAATAAATCTTATTTTCTAATTTAAACAAGAAAAAGGCTATGGAAAGAAAAAGAAGCCATTGAAAGATTACTGATGTTTTTAGTCCTAACAGTTGTTCTTCCTTAAACTTTCTTGAAGTAGTGTACAACTTTGAAATCGGCAAGATTTAGATATTGATTGCTGTTACTGAAGAAAGAACTAAGCCCTGATAGGTCTACGAAACAGTGAATTCTTTCTGTAGCACTAATGGTGAAGAATTACTAATACAGAGCTTAAATATCTTGGCTTTCAGTCGGACATGGTAAGTAGCCAAGCAAGCAGTGCATGCTTTCCCTCAAGATGTGCAGGAAAGATGCTCAGATTTAGAAAGCTGCTTATCATTTTGCAGTTTTTTTGAGTTTGGGGTTTTTTTCAGTCCTACCAGAAGCAATCAGTGTGTCTTTACAAAACCTTTGAAAAGTAAGGCTTTTTTATTCTGTGGAAGGGGAGAAATCTTTGTCAAGTAGTTTAGCAGAAACCAGGAGAAATAAAACTAAATACTTTTATTGCTACATGGAGCCTTCAGCATTCATAGCTTGTAAAATTAGCTACTTCACATGCCATTTGTCTTATTTGCAATGGAAAAAGTTGGAAAAGGACTCAGTTCCAATTTTCTCAGGTTTCAAAACATACTGCTGTTTTTCACTGCTCACTTCACAACACTAGCAATCATTCCAGATTCAGCATCTCCTTGTTTTCTACACATGTTGTTCTGAGATACACTGAGAATGTCATCCCAATGACAGGTGTCATAGAAATAAAAATTGTTAATATTATCTGTACTGATATAGAAAGGAGGAAATAAATCTAAGAAGTATTTAAATGAAACATTCATTAAAAATATCACATTTTGAATGAGCACTTACTGCTCAGGCAGTATATAAACATTTCATTATCAGTTGCATAAATTCTATAACATATTGCAATCTCAATGACTAACAGAAGTTCAAACTTCTGATTTATGGAAAACATTTCTTATTTGAAATGATTAGGACTAATTTTAGAATCAAGTTTTCTAAGGGAGAATTTAGACCACAATAGAAGCATTACTTACATTATGAAAAAAATACACTTTTCCATATTAAAAACTATAGATTGCAAGAAATGTCATATAGAGTGCATTGCCTCTAAATTTCACACTTTTGTGAGCAACATCCTAGGACCTGAAGGTCTGCAGCTAAATGGCAACTTTTTTTGATTTTATTGCTCTAGTGTTCCTTACCCATAAAAGAAGAACAGGACAACCTTTTGCAAACAATGGAAGTTATTTAAACAGAGTACCGTCTTCAGTACAGAAACTGTTAACTGTTTCATTACATTCTGTTCCGTTGATAGGGAGCTGTGTAACCTGCAGCTGCAGTATCTGAAGGAAATCTACCACTCAGCTAACCGGCTGATCCCATATCTGTGTCAGATAAAAATCATAGTGCTTATTATTTGTTACCATGGATACCATGAAGATATTGCTGTCCACTAACGATTACTAGAGGAAGACAACATAATTCTCAGGAACGAGTCCTGTTTTGCCTTCATAAGTTGCCTTTAACCAGCCTGGTTCCACTGATGGATACACTGCAAAACAAAACAGTGAAACAAAACATATTTACAGTAAATTAACACTGTCGAAAGATCCTATATACTGTTCATATATTTATTTAGACAGTATTTATTCAATAGCAATTGAAAAATCAGGGCAAAAACTGAGAGTGGAAAATGGAATTACGCTCTGTTATCTTGTGGATACAGTTCAGCTTTTTATATTTTTTTAATGTAAAAAGAGAATGTAAAATATACCTTACCATTGGAAAATATTGCCCCCTGTGGGAAAGACAGCTCATGACTATGCTCAGCCTTACAGGAATACATGGCTTTTGCTTGTCTGAAAGAAAAAAATACAGGCTTGCAATAAATGAGATAAAAAGAAAAAACATATAAAGACATGAAATTAAAACCTGGGAAGAGTAGGAATAATCAGTTGCACAAATACAGGATGGTAATGACTAGTTACACAGTAGTTCAGAAGAGTAGAATTACAGCAGACAGTAACTCCAAGCTTACTGGAGTTAACAAGCATGTTATTGCAGAAAAGAGACCAACATCCTACTTAGAGGTTTAAAGAGGTATATAATTTACAGCTTTTAAAAGGAATCTTTCATGCTAGTTGAAGTTGTCATTCAAATGAGTACTGAATTGAGCATATTGCCTGAAGGAAGTGATGGACTGCCTGGAGACAATTCAAAAGTGATCATTAAAGGTCTAAAAACATGACTTGTGAGAAAATACAGTTGATCAGTCTATGGAAGAAAATAATACATAGAAGGTAAATATGACACAGAAAAGGAGAAATCTGTTCTCCAGGCTGACTGCAAAAAGTACTTAAATAGATTACACTGCAGCAAGGGAGATTTAAACTAGGTGTTTGGGGTGGGTTTCGGCTTCAGACACCTAAATTTAGATGTCTATAAATAACCTATGTGCCTAGCTCCACAGACCTTCCAGGCGTGGCTTCTGCTACACTGGATGCCTACTTGGGAGTGCAACAAACGGCTCAGCAGGTTCCACTGCCTGCAGCAAAACCTTCAATGAAATACTTCCTGAAATAATACCTGACATGAAGACACCCACAGGTAGACAGCTAAGTTTATATCTCTTAATGGAAAGAGATATAAAAACCCCTCTATTGGTTAGAATAGTGAAGCACTGGAACTGCCAAAAATTGGAGAGGCCTGGAATTGAAGATTTCCCATTACTAAAAATTCATTTTAAAAAAAAAAAAAGCCACTACACAGATATCTGTAAGAAGATTTCCCATTACTAAAAATTCATTTTAAAAAAAAAAAAGCCACTACACAGATATCTGTAGAAGAACTAGTTAGATATATAATGATTCTATCCCAGAGAAGGAGGACAGATTAGGTCATCTCTTGATATGGCTTCTAGCACTAAGATTCTGCAAAATGCAAAATAAATGATGGATAGAACATGAAGATGGAAATTTGGAGTTTTCTCTAGATTCCTGCACTTTACCTAACACCTCTCCTTTAATTTACATACTCAAAGCAATTTTTTATATGATCCATCAGTTTTTCTGAGTTTCTTTAAAGTTATTAGAAACTCACATTATACCAAATGAAGATGAACTTGTTGATTATTTCATCTTTGTATGATGTGATGGGGCATTACTGATTCAGCTTTCCTTCCAGCCAGGATTTCTCTCAATGACACAGTATGCGACCTGTGGTAAAGTTTAAAATTTCTAGCATACTTTTTGAGAGGGTATATGCAAGTGACATGTAATCTATTTTGTCTTTTCTCCCAAAATAGTGAGATAACAGAGTTGTTAAGTTAGACTAATAATAGTGCCACATCATAAGCATTAGCATAAGTAGTCTATTTTATTTTATTTTACTGCCAATGGGGCCCATGGCACTTCACCTTTGGAGTTCCACACCACCTGGTGAGGTTAAGCAGGGACAGACTTCCTAAACAGAGTCGGGAACACCTCTCTACCCTGGCCTCGTACCCTGGTACCAATCAGTACTAGCACACCATCATTCATTTGAATCTCTAAAAGGGTCCAAGTGGATGGACACATTCCCACGTTTGTATGCATGAGCTTTCCAGAATTGATTTGTCCCTCTGAAGAAAATGCTCTGAAGCTGACTTATGACTAGACCAAGTGGCGTGCTTTGCCTTCATCTTAAGTGACCAACTGACTCATCAAGAGTTAGACTCTCAGGCTGAGATTTCCAGAGGATGTCAAGAATTTTGAGTCATGGCCTGGATATCCAAAGGCACCTTATTTTCAGGATGCTGAAAACATTTCAACTCTCAGTACTGTCATTCTGGATACATCCCCACTGCTAACTAGAACAACATGAGCACTGGACCTCTGTTTGTCTGCTTTGCTCAAACGTTAGCTTTCTTTCTGGCTGGTGTAGACCGCTCTGTTTAGCATTTTTCCAAGACAACTCCTTGGTGCCTACTGTTATGAAGAACTTGCCATCTACAGTCGTCAAGACAGGCGTGAAGTTTCATTACTCTACATAATATATACAAATTTATACTTAATAATCTACATAATATATACTAAAATATACAGAGGGAGATTAGATTACTTTACCGAAGGTCACACATAAACCAGAACTGAATTCTTTAATCTCAAGATAATTTTTCCTCAAAGTCAATATAACAAAGAGCACTACAGATGTTCTAGTTATACTGACCCAGGTCAGTAACAGTCTGACAGAACAGCTATTTCCTGTGTGGCATAATCATGGATTTTACACATATAAAACAGTAGAGTAACTGTTAATAATGATTATAGTTGCAATGAATGTAAGATAATTGGTAATGAATTTACTAAAGCACAGGGATGATTTCGAACCTGATTTTACTTAGTGGCATGACTATCAAGCCAGTTTTCCATGTTAAGAATGGGACATCTGAGTAATACTATGACCAAAGACATTTAAGGTAATAATAGAACAGAACAGCAATATTTAAATGTGAGGCAGAATTATTTAAGTTATTCTTGAAATATGTTGGGTTTTGGTGCCCTTAGAAAAAGTTAAGAAAAATAAATGCAATTTTTCTCCTATATTCTCTTATGTCTACTAAACTATTCTGTTTCCAGCTTCTAATTTTACCTGATCCAAGTATGTTGACCTTAAAAGTAAAAAGAAGGTAGGAAAACATGGACCCTGACTTGCTCAGTTCTGGAGACAGAAAGCTTCCCAGCATTTGACATTTAGACAGATGCACAAACACAAGGTACCAAGAAGTCAGTTTCTCAAAAGCTCGTGAATTACAGGATTCTTCCCACCACCTGGCTCCTGACACAGAGTAATTACATCCCAGTGTTATCCACAAACTCTGTGTGATGGTATAACGAGCAACAAATTCTGTGAATATTTACTCATAATTCTGGAGCAATTTTCAAGCCCCTGGTTATTGCCTCCACACTTGATTTGATTACTTAGGTTCTTGTATTAGTTATTACTCACTTCAACTCTATCCAGCTAGAAGCATTAGCAACAAAAAGGGCTTGCAGGTTCCTGGGCATTTTTTTTTGTGTGCGATTATGAAAATGGATATTCTTACTTATGGTGTTAATGCTCCTCTCCCTGCAAACAAGGCTGTTAAAAAGCATGTGATATCACCATCATCTATTATGGTTCTCTTAAGATCATGCTAATAATCTGAGAAGAGTGTGATTCATGTTGTTTAGTGCAAAGAAAAAAAAAAACCTTCAGAAAATGGTACCCACATTTCCTAGAACTTCCTTCTTTCCATGACTTTACTGGATAGACTCTAGATGAGAAAAAAAAATGCATTTTCCCTTTCCCCACTTCATGTTCCCTTCCCCTACTTTTTATTGTTTGTTTTGAGCCCGTAACGATAAACTTCGACTAGCAATCAAAGGGTCAGTACTCATCAGATCATAAACCATTTTGCTTGACTACATGCAGTCAATAACACCTGAGGCTTTTTTAATAACAACAACAATAATAATAATTTTAAAAGTCATAAATAAGCTTTAAAACTATGCTTCTGCTCTAATGAGTTTTCAGTCTAGCAAGACAAAGACAGAAGCCAGAAGAGGAATGAATGAGGGAAAACACATGAATGTCTCTCAGATGACTCATCAGTTAATATTATCCTACAAGAAGAAGAAAGGTTTATAGACTCCTGAAGATGGCAGACTTACAGCCAAGCTTGACTGAGTGGAAAACACTAGTCTGGACTGGGCAAGGCATCCCAGATGTTTAAGGAAATGCAAAATATAGCATGAAGATAAAAACAGAAGAATGACTGGGAAAGGACATTTAATCATATGGTTAGGAGGGAAGCATGGGTCTACAGGGCTTCATACTGTCAGCCTACTCTTATTAAAGTCGCAGCCCAGCACCTAGAGATCCTGCTGCCAAGCCAGAGCTGTTTGCTGTCACCAACTCCTTCCCATTTTTCTAGGTATTCTTTGCTAATGAAAATCCTTCTTCTTATGATGCAGTTTCTCACTTTATGTTAGAAACATATTGACTTTCTGTGTACCGCTAAATCAAACTCAAGAAAAGACAGAATCAGGGATTACATGTTGGTGTATTTTTGTACAGACACTGCAATAAAGAGACCTCAGACCTTACTAAGACTGCTGGATAACTGCAATATTTGTGAAAGCAGTAAGAAAACTCCTTCTCCTCTTTCAAATACATACTAGATTAGCAATAGGGATTGGTCTCAGTGTACACAGTAGCTTAATACCACAGTCTGGGAGATGGTTGATTAACAAACTTAAGTCAGGAGGGGAGGAATAGGAAGACTGAGAAGTCAAAGTAATTCTGGAATTGGAAAAAGAGAGCACAGGTTGGACAGGGCATAACATTTTAGTCTTCCCTGTCCAATCCTGAAACATGTACTGTGGCCTCTCATTCCCTTTCTGACTAAAAGAAATCTGTTCAAACTGGTAGTGCTATGGGGGCATGTGCTCATTTATACAAGGAGAGGAAACAGCCAGGTCAAATAATGGCCCAGCATTAAAAAAAAAAAAAAAAAAGGGGTCACACACTCATAATAGAGATATTGCATTATACACAATCAGAAAGCAGGACTGTAAATACTACTTGCAAGAAGGAATTAAGTAAGACCAGGCCACTGTGGTGGTAAAGCATCACGTACAAAATTATGTGCTGGAATACAGATGACAATGTGAGACTGCAAAGCTGTATAGGTACTTTTGATCCACCTACTCTACAAATGACCGCAACAGGCAACAGATGCTTCAAGCAG